CGCAATATGTGGGCGACGCGCTCGCCACCTGATTAAGTTCGTTAACCAAAGGGATTGCCGGGGTGTGTGGCCGCTGCGCGGACCACACCTCCATAGAGATACTAGTACAAGGAGACGTAACCTCATGACTACTGGGTACAGAAGCCACGCGAATCGAACGCAAGAGTTAAACCTCTCGCTGGGTACTCTAAAACTTGCTTAAAATGTTTTTGCAGCTGTACCAGATCGTTACTTTTTTATCCCCGTAGTTGAAAGGTGATTCACACGGAGGAATAGCTTCAAGGGTCTACCTCTTGACATTCTACTCTATGCTGTGCAGTATTTGCTTAGCTAACTCTGCTTGCTATTTTTCTCTTCAACCAGGAGCTAATGAACCAAGTTGACCGATTTGAAAAACAACTTGATGACTACACAGAACCAACATTCTTCGTCCCACAGAATGTTCCACAAACGGACGATATGAATTTTATTTAGTAAGTTTCTAATTCAACCTAACAACATTTTTAGTGAGCAAATGAGTACAGAATTCAAACGGCTGGAGAAACTGACTAGGCAGATCAATACCTGGAGGACTGGAGAATCGCAAGGTTTGCGTTCTCAGACGCTATCAGGCGAATATTTTTCTTCATCGGAGGAATACTCTTACAGCAGCTCTGAACTGCCAACACAATACTACACCGATGCAAGGCTTTCTTTCCACGAAGAAAATGTTATGGAAGGATATGATAAGCAGCATATAACATTTGCCTTGACAGACCGCAAAAAACACATCCGAGGGCCCCCACAAAGATTTGTAGGTCTGACCGCCTCTCAACCATATAAGGCATCCAGCAGGGAAAAAATATATTCTTCGGAGTCAGAAAATGAAAGAAACCTGCCCTCGCGACTAACACCGTTCAAAATAAATCAGCTAAAGATACATTCGGTGACAGACAGCGACACAAGAAGAAGCGAAAGCGAGGATCTTCAGCAGAAACCGGACACCAGCGTTATCAGTAGCATGACAGTCAAAAGAAACATGAGTGTCGAAAAACAACTGAAACAGCCGCTAAAAAAAGCACCAGAGGCTTCATTCAGAAGCAGACAACGACTGCAATTAAAACCCACGACGCACCAACGAGAAGCAGACGTAAAACTGGTTTATCTTCAGTTGACAACAGCCAAGACAGAACACGAAACAAGCACAAGAGGTGACGGGAATAGCGTGGACGAAGGTGTCCAGGTGGAAATAAACATAGTCCCAATTGAAGACGGGGAAATAATTAATGTGGAAAAACGCGTAATTACCTTGGGCAAAGACGAAACCGGTAGCCTAAAACCAAAAGAGGATAAACCATACATAGAAACTCAAACAATGGACCACAAGGAAATAGCCAAAGATGAAAAACCACATAAAGAAGACAAAGAAACGACAACTAAATCACACAAATCAAACGATATAGGAATACAAATGACAACCGAAACAAGAGCGGAAACAATACTTAGATACCTTAACCTACCAGATCACCCAGGGGAAACAGCCAAATTAGCCGATGCACAAAAACAACCCCAAACAAAATGCGCGTCGACCGAAACAGATTTCCCTCAGCCAACACCAACAACGAAAATTGTACCACAGAGCCCTGTGCAGCTAGTGAAAGATGCAACTCCAATGCCCGAGCCCATCACCTTCAGCGTCTGTGCAAGCCAAACACCCATGCAGACATATGGAGAGGGCATTAGTGCAGCAACTCTCGAGGTGCCCAAGAAGCAAACAGACAGCGTTGTCCATCAGACTACCATGCCATCTCTCACAGAAGACGATGCGACGCATTTGGTGACGGACAACCAGCCAACTCTCACGCATTCAGTGCAGACAGTCAAGCCGACCTTCGTTGCGACTGCCACAATGACCAGCAGGGACTATGAGAGCGCACCTGCGCCGATTGTGGTAGAGAAAGCAGCACCAGTGGAGCACAGTGCACCTCCAATGGACCAGAAGCCAGCGAGTACGGACGCCCAGGCTGTCACGGTACCACTCGAAACGTCAGCTCGTGAGGCACAACCCAGCCCAGGAGAACTAAAATATATCACCAGCAGTGACACTCTAACAAAGTCAACACCTCTTAATCTGACATCCACAGAAGTACTCGCGGAAGGCAGGCGAACCACACACCAACAGGCCACAACCCAACTGACAGACACGGATAAAGCGTCAGCCCTCCTCTCCGGGGTGGCACCACATCCACAGCACATTGTCACTGTCTCCGCGCAGACAGTCAAGCCGACATTCCTTGCGACCGCCACAATGACCAGCAGTGACAACGAGAGCGCACCTGCGCCGATTGTGGTAGAGAAAGCGGCACCGGTGGAGCACACTGCACCTCCAATGCCCGAGCAGCCAGAGACCACAGACGCCCAGTCTAGCACC